ACAGAAGCTCAGAAAATACAGTAGGTTTCCTTTAAGAGGGCTTGGGCCAAGGTCCAGGAGAATATATAAGAAAGAGTTGACTCAATAGGTTTGAGTTGCTTAAACTTTAAACATTCCATGAAGAAATAAAATGGATTCATAAATATCCCAGAAAAGGTAGAAAGAGAAGTAAATAAAGAACAACTAATAGAAAGACAGTAAATATAAAATGAATCATATTCATTATCACATTAAATGAAAATGATCTGAACACCCCAATTAAAAGGAAGACACTATCAAATTGGATGAAAAAGCAACACTCAATTGGGTTACCTTTTTAAAAAACAGATTAAATTAAAAAAAACACAAATAGACTAAAAGTAAAACTGGTATTCCGGAGGCTGAGATCTGAGAATCACAGATCAAAACCAGTCCAGGCAGACAAGTCAATGAGACTCTTGTCTACATTTAACCAGCAAAAACCAGAACTGTAGGCATGGCTCAAGTTCTTGAGTAAAAAACAAAAATAAAAACAAAGCAAGAGTGCAAGGCCCTGAGTTCAAGCCCCAGTACTAGCACAAAAAAATTAAAACTAGTCAAAAGAAAGCTAGGATAGTTACATTAATGCCATCTAAAGTAGATTTCAGGAAAAAAGAACAATAATATGGATAAAATGGAATACTTTCTCATGACAAAAGGGTCAAATCATCAAGAGAATATGACAATCCTAAAAGTTTATGTACCTAACAACAAAGCTTCAAAATACATGAAACAAAATCTTAGTATAACTCAGGATAGGGGGTGTGGCTGAAGTGCTAGAATGCCTACCCAGTAAGTATGAAGCCCTAAATTCAAATCCTTAGTACTACTAGAAATAAAACAACCACCACCAAAATTTTGATAGAACTAAATGAGAAACAGATGAATACAAATAGATGAGATTTCAACATACTTCTGCAAATAATCTGTAGATCAAGTAGACAGAAAATCAGTAAAGAAATAGAAAATGTGTATAATGTTATTAACCAACTTAATCCAACCAGTATTTAGTAGCAGTACTGAAGTATGAAATTAGGGCTTGTGCTTTCAAGGCACACTGTTTTTTTGTTTTTGTTTTTGCTCTGGTTATTTTTCAGATAAGAGTCTCACTTTTTGCCTAGGCAAGCTCGGACTGTGATCCTCTTATTTCTACTTTGTGCTGCAGCAGAGATAAGTTCATACTACCACATCCAGCCTTTTCTGTTGGTTTGGGATCATGTAAACTTTTTGCCCAATCTCCACTTCCTGAGCTTCCAGGTGTGAGTTACTAGTGTCCAGTTTAATTGACATTTGTAGAGTGTTCCACCCAACAATATAGTATATAAGATATGTGTAAATTCTAAGCACACATGGAAGATTTACCAAGAGAAAATATATTGTAGGCCAGAAAACAAATTGCCATGTGTTTAAAAGAATTCAAATCATGCAAATTATATTTTCTGACTAGAACAGAATTAAATTAGTAAAAAATATAAAGAAAGAAACCTGGAAAATCATATGAGCATACATTAGTTGTATAATAAGGGAGGTTCATTGTGACATTTCCATACACATATACAATGTATCCCAGTCAAATTCACCCCTTCTATCACTCTCCCTTATCCCATACCTTCTTTCTGTTTCAACTGGTTTCATGGCTCTGTTCTCCCCTATGCCAATAAAATACTTCCACCAAATTCTTCAGTCTCTGTTTGTCTGCCCCTCTCCTGCTGATAGTCAACACCCCCCCCAAAGAGCCTGCTTTATTTTCTCATCATTCAAAAAAATTCTACAAATGTTCAGAAATTAGATGATACATGTCTAAGTAACCCTTTGTTAAAGAAGTTTCAAAATCAAATGTAAATATATTTTACTTGCTTTAATATGAAAGTACCACATACCAACATTTGTGAGGTGCAAAGCTGGTGCTGAGGCTCAAGTCTGTAATTTTAACTACTTGGGAAGCAAAGATCAGGGGACTGTAGTTCAAGGCCAGCTCAGGCACAAAAGTTCTAGAGACTCCATCTCAATCAATGGGGTGGTGTGGTGGCAGGTACTGTTAACCTAGTTACAGGAGAAGCACATGGCTGGGCACACTGGGACAAACCTGTTGTCTCTAGTGACATAGGGCTCACAAGTGGATAACAGGCCAGGCCAGCTTGAGCATAAAATTAAAGCCTTACCTTAAAAATAACCAAGCCATTTTCAGGTTTTGAAAGCCACAGCTATATAGCACTTGAATATCACTTTTATTGTGCTAGGGTTTTTCTTCCATAGGGGATCTATACAGTTTATACTGCTCTCCCATTCTTGGTTACTATAAACAACATTATTTGGAATCATCTTTTAATCTTGTCTCTTAATCTTGGGTCTTAAAAGTGATTAACCCTACAGGTAATGTTTCACTTGCTAAAATATCCCAACCTTCAGAAGCTATAGTTAAACTATTTCTTTATGTTATTTTTGTTTGTTTGAGATACTGAATTGAATTTTCATTTTTCCTGATATCTATAGACATACAGACAACAAACATCTGTGGGACAATGATCCTATCAAATAATTTCTACTGTTTATACTAGGCTTACCATGTGGGAATGAAATTCATGTTCACTGATAAAAAGAAAGAAACATGATTATTATATGATTTATATAAAGCAATATTAAAGAATTTTCTTGAGCTAGGCACCAATGCCTCACACCAGTAATCCTAATTACTCAGAAAGCTAAGATTTGGATGACTGTGGTTCAAAGCCAGCCTGAACTAAGAATCTAGTTCCAAAATAACCAGTTCCAAAATAAAAATCCAGTTCCAAAAATAAAATAAAATCGTTATAAAATAACCAGCAAAAAATAGGGCTAGAGGCATAGCTTAACTAGTAGAACACAGTGAAGCAAGTAAGCAGAGTGAGATCACAAGCCCTGCATTCAAACTCCTATACAAAAAAAAAAACTCCTCTCATTTTACAGATAAATAATCTCTGGTTTAAGTGGCAGAGTGCCAGCCTGACAAGCAACAAACTCTGATTCAAATCCCTGTGTTGTGAAAGGAAAAAAAATCTTGAAATATACTTATACTTTATACTTACACTTGAATACAATTTGGCTTTATTAAGCTTGCTACAGCTTTTGCTAACCAGAGTAGACAAATCCCACGTTTATGAAAACAGTTAACAGTTCTATGGAAGAATTGTAAGAGTAACCTCAATCTGAGTTTACTTCGTGGCAGTCTTCAAAAATAAAAGGAAATACACTAAATAAAATATAATAAGCTGGTGCCAGTGGCTCAGGCCTGTAATTCTAGATACTCAGGAGGCTGAGATCTGAGGATCATAGTTCGAAGCCAGCCTGGGCAGAAAAGTCCCCATGAGATTCCTATCTCCAATGAACTACTCAGAAAAGCTAAAAGGGGCCCTGTGGCTCAAGTGGTAGAGCACTAGCCTTGAGCAGAAAAAGACACAGGCACAGCATTCAGGCCCTGATTTCAAGCAAAAAAAAATTGTGGTGTGTGTGTGTGTGTGTGTATACATACATTTATATGTATATATATATATAGATAGATAGATAGATAGATATACACATACATACACACACATTCTTTGAGTATTCTGGGCTCCAAAAGTAAAAATATAATGCACTCTATTCTGCTTTAATTCTTCCCTTTACGCTTTGCTCACCCCCTCAGCTTTCCTGAGTATTTGGATAGATGCTGGCAGCAGCTGACTATAGGACTAGGAGAATACCATAAATCTAGCAATTACAACATGGCCACCACTGTTAAAATGTTTTCCTATTAGTGAAAAATGAGATCAGTTTTACAACAGATTTAACAACACAAAGATTAATTTCCAAAATGGTTTCTCTTCCAGAAGCTTAAATAGATACTTATAATTCTTAGTAATTATTAAAGAATAGTGTATATTTCCCCATTTTCATATATCTACATGTCACAATCAGGCAAGATAGCTAATTTCCAAACCAAAGATTTCTAATAGAAACATTCAAATGAAAAATGAAGTATTTTAATTTACTTATTGACTATGAAATCTACCATGAAACTCACTTTTTTCCCATACTTCAGAAAAACCAACTTCTTTCTAGAGGACTGATGGCAGCTAGCTCTCCTGTGTCAGCATTCAGACATCCATGGTTCAGTCTATGTAAATTAATGTTACAGTTCTAGTTACTGAAAAAAAAAACCCTCCACCTTTTTCAGTTGTACCTCAATTTACCAAGGCGCCAACCAATAGTACAAAATTTGGGTAATGAGCAATGGCACCCACTGAAGACTTCAGAGTCTCCCAAGTAAAGGAGAATATAAAATTCCAGGAGACATTTTTTTTCCTGTTTCTCATGTTACCAGCATGTATAGTACTAGGAAACCAAGAGTAAAGGAAGGTGACAACAACCACATACATGAATCTCCCTAGAGCCAAAAGCCTATTAGCTACTTAGGATCAAAATTTAAAGCTAGTCCTGGCAGATAAATCCAGGAGATTCTTATCTCCAATTAACAAGCAAAATGGTGGAAATACAGGTGTGGCTCAGGTTGTAGAGCTTCAGCCTTGAATGAAAAAGTCGAGTGATAGCAAGAGGCTCTGAGTTCAAGCCTCTGTACTGGAACAAAAATAAAGAAAAGTAAATGCTCACTAAACAAAATATAAACTGTAGTGGGCCAAAGAAGGACTCTCATTTGAGTTTTATTCGTGGCTACAAGTAAATTCCAAAGTAAGAGAATCATCATTTAGGAAATGATTTCAATGTTCTAAATGAGACTTCAGCAATCTCCATAGGCATATTATTAAGATTTCTGTGTAGACTTCTTTGTTAAGTTTGGTACCAACTGTCAAGAAATAACCAACTAAATTAAAAATCCTTGCTTACTGACTTTTTATTATCCACACTTCCAAAATTAAAAAGTATCATCTTTAAGGTATCTTTATTATTCCTTGAATTAGTAAAACAAATACAAAGTCAAGACATAATTGTAATGTGACACAAGATACTCATTTTCCTTCAGTAATTTAATCTGTTCCAAAATATTTCTGTCCAAAATGTGTAGGTGCAACAGGATGCACTTCAGTAGTTAAAATTGTGATTTCTGGAAATTCTTGAATGATTGACTTGGCACCTTCAAAGAAAAAAAGAAAAGAAAAAATAGTTACTATGGGATTTTTCATAATGCTAGTTGCAAGTGATGAATTTTATAGTCATTGTTACTAGACCTAATATTGAGAGAGGGAAAGAGAGAGCGCAATAGCCTTTGGATATTTATTCAGACATAGTACATCTCTATTTATGTGATCTGAAAGCTTTGGTAGTTGTTTGACTATGCCCTTGAAGCCTCATTAATACATGCTTATAATCAAATTGTTTTTTAGCTAAGTTGTGAAAAATAGATTTTCAGTTATAGCAACTTTTTCCAAAAGTCTTTTTTTATTGTAGTTTAGAGGCTGGGTAAGAATGAATAGATTTCTTTCTCAAAGGAGGATCACACACATAAATCAAGCTTTCCCACTGCCACACTGTGAAACAACTGAGAAATCAGGACTCTAGCTTTGGAGGAGGGGCTACACAGGGAATTAAGGCTGGCTGGACATCTGTACCTATTAAACAGACTAAGTTTGAAAAATAAAGACTGGCTAAAATCACAGTTAAACTAAAAAGCCATAACAAAGCTGCCAAAAAATAAGATTTTTTTCAGCTATAATGTCAAGAATAGTATGCTATTCTAATGAAAACTACTAGAACTAAATGGATTAGTTTTGTATTCCCCAAAGTGGATAATTAAAGGATTAGGTTAATGTGTTTAATGTTATACATAATGGACAATCAAGGAAGTCACACTTTGTCACCACCCATGTTTGACTTACAGATAATTTCTGGTTACAAAGGAACAAAGTAGTCAAACAGGCCAGAATTCCTACCCAACAGTAATACTGGAAAGTGCACCCATAACCTACTTTAGCTTCTTCAGGGCTGGCAGAGACTTAGAACACTTGGAAATGAGGAAATCGCCTGGGGAGAAAAGTCACTTCTTTCTCTTTCTTCTCAGTTATGAAGCAAAATAGGAATTCATTGTAGAACAACTTAGCAAAATCTTACCCCCTAAAGCTTAAAGATAATTAAAAATCACTTAGAATTTCACTAGCCTAAAATAATCTCTGAAAAAACTGAAATAGTGTTATTTATGTAGCTGTAAGGTCTGCCCTGGTCCATGCAGGCCCTGGCCTTCCCACCTCCTGTGTAAGTCTCCACCAGTACCTGCATCACCTAGGTAACTGGCACACCATTGGGCAGTCACCTCCCCCTCCTCTGAGATCACATCCTGGCCCCCCCCTTCCCTCCCATACCTCTCATCTGACTGGGAAGGGTCCCAGGTCCTGAGGTCACATTGAATCCAGTATGGCCACACCTTCCCTCACCTGGCCGCACCCACTCCCCCACACCTACTCCCTGCCCCTTAGTCCTACTTAAACCCTGGCGGGACATTAGCACACCCCTTTCGGCCGTGTGGTCTCCACCATGCATGGGGGAGGGGAGTGAGAAGGAGTGGGGAGAAGTGGGGGGCAGGCAGTTTGGAATAAATAAACTTCTCTTCCTACCTGAATACCACATGGTGTTCTCTTCATCCGCCACCTAATTAACCCACCTCTTTACCTTACAGTAGTCTCTTGCACTGAGGAGACTTACTAGGAGACATGTCAAATCCAAATTAGTTTGAGAAGTTAAAATAGTCATAACTGGTATTGTCATTGCTAGACCTGGTGAAAGCATTTCTCAGCAGTCTAATGCTGCTATGGCTTATGCTGTGTTTTCAAATTTACCATCCACCTAGTGAGGTCATTAAATACTTTTCCAAAATAAGATCTGACAGTGATGTGTTTACATATCCCTTGACTATGTTAATTTACCCATTTCTTTGTAAGTCATTTATATCTTTCTCTTTTTTTCTTTACACAAATAACTTTACAATGAACATCCTAGAAACTAAATTCTTTTTTAATATATATTTTTTTATTGTAAAGATAGGGTGGAGGGGGTTACAGTTACATGAGTAAGATAATGAGTGCATTTCTTATCCAGCCTTGTTACCCCTCCTTTGTTTTTCCCCTACCATCCTTTCCCTCCCCACCTCCCCAACTCCTCCCTCCCCTCCCAAAGTTGTAAAGTTTGTTTTCAACATAGTGTCTTGTACATCTCATTGTTACAATGGGTCAACCTGTATCCTTATTTCAGCATTTTGTTATTTCCTTCCCCTCCCCAAATTAGAAAACTGTATATACAAGATACAGGGCACCAGAATCAAATACAGTGAAAATAGGGGTTATACCATGGGGGAAGAACATACAAAAGAAACAAAAAAAATCTCATAGTACATTATAAGCATATTAAAAAGAACAGCAAGAAAGATAAAACCTCTTGTGTCCCTATCTTGGGGTTCACTTCACTTAGCAGCATCTTATATGGTCATATGTACATAGCTTTTGACCTTTTCTGCTTGTCCTAGACATATACTAGTTATTGCAGATAAGGGAAACCATGGGACCTATGTTTCTTTGGGCCTGGCTTACTTAACTCAATATAATTTTTTCCAAGTCTTTCCATTTCCTAACAAATGGGGCGGGGTCATTCTTTCTGATGGAGGCATAGAAATATATATATATATATATATCATATATATATATATCATATATATACCACATTTTCTTGATCCATTCATCTACTGAGGAACATCTGGGTTGGTTCCATATCTTAGCTATGGTGAATAATGCTGTGATAAACATAGTTGTGCTAGTAGCATTAGTATGGCTCTGTTTGTGATCATTTGGGTAAATGTCCAGTAGTGGGATTGCTGGGTCATAGGAAAGCTCTATGTGGAGTCTTTTGAAGAGCCTCCATACTGCATTCCAAAATGGTTGAACATTTATACTCCCGCCAACAATGCAGAAGGGTTCCCTTTTTGCCACATCCCCTCAAACATCTGCTGTTATTAGAGTTCTTTTTTAATGTTTTTTATTGTAAAAATACTGTACAGAGGGGTTACAGTTACATGAATAAAGTAATGAGTACATTTCCTATCCAGCCTTGTTATCTCCTCCTTTGTTTTTTCCCCTACCATCCTTTCCCTCCCCACCTCCCCAACTCCCCACCTCCTCCCTTCGCAAGTTGTAACATTCGTTTTCAACATAGTATCTTGTACATCTCCTTGTTACAATGGGTGAAACTGTATCCTTATTCAGAATTTTGTTATTCCATTGTATAAATATACCACATTTTCTTGATCCATTCGTCTACTAAGGGGCATCTGGGTTGGTTCCATATCTTAGCTATGGTAAATAATGCTGCAATAAACATAGTTGTGCTGGTAGCTTAGTATGGTCTTGTTTGTGATCATTTGGATAAATGCCCAAAAGTGGGATTGCTGGGTCATAGGGGAGCTCTATGTGGAGTCTTTTGAGGAACCTCCATACTGCTTTCTAGAGTAGTTGAACAAGTTTACACTCCCTCCAACAATGCAGTAGGGTACCTTTTTTCCACATCCCCTCTAGCATCTGTTGCTATTAGATTTCTTGATTATAGCCATTCTAACTTGGATGGGGTGGAATCTCAATGTTGTTTTGATTTGCATTTCTTTTATGGCCAGAGAAGTTGAGCATTTCTTCATGTGTCTATTGGCCATTCTTACTTCCTCTTCAGAGAAGTCTCTCTTTACGTCTTTAGCCCACTTATTTATCAGGAGGTTGTAGAAAGTAAATTCGATGGTTTATTTTCTTAGAATGTATTCTTAGAATGTTGAGTCTTATTTTAGGCACATTTCTCCCAGGAAATGGGGAACAGTTTTCTCATCATGCCTTTTGAGTGGAAATCTAACTTTAAAACATTCCACCATTTACTTCAGAAGTGAGACCATGTGGTTAGATAGAACTTGGAATTTCTTGCTGTTTTTGTGTTGTTATCAGACTCAGATGGGCAATCAGAGAAAACAGGGACTTTTCCAACATTCAAGGACACTTTTCAAATAGGGCCATTGGAGACAAACAATTCTAATTCTGAGGTGTGTGTGGGGTGTGTGTGGGAGGGTGTGGGTGTGTGCATGCACACGGCACACTCGTCAGGACTGGGTTTGAACTCAGGGCCCTGAGGCTTTGTTACTCAAAGCTGTTGCTCTACCACTTGAGCCATACCTCTGCTTCTGGCTTTTCACTGATTAATTGGAAGTAAGAGTCTCACAGACTACTCAGGCTAGCTTCAAACCATCCTCAGAGTAGAAACAATTGTAATTATTTTCAGTGAGGATGGTTCATACTTCTCCATTTGAATTTGAATATTAGAACTAGCCGTCATGATAAGTCTAGCTATCACTTGATCATTTGATCATTTGAATCCAGGAGTTCAATACCAACCTGGGCAACATTGTGAAATACACTCTCAAAAATGATACAAAATATTATCCCTAAGCCTAGAGATGATAAACCTAAGCTATAGATACCAAAATTGGATTCAAATTGATTATGATCAGAACTAAAGTTTTCCTCTGGATAAGAAGCTAGGCAGATACACTCATACCCATCTGTTGAACATCTAGCACTGCAGTCATTGCCTGGTGCTCAACTCACCATGAGGAGTAGAGAAGAGACTGAGCAGGATAATAACACTTGGTTGAACTCCATGTTCTATAAGAACCTTTACAGCTTCAATTACAGTATTTCCAGTGCCTGAAATCAAAAGACAACCAAATATATTAGTAGCATTAACATTTATTTTGAAATGTTTTTGAAGAACAATGCTCTATTTAGAGGTGCTCGTTTTTTATCAATGTAATGTAAAAATAATAGACATGAGAGATACAGTGATCAATATACAATAAGCCCTAAATTCACATATTATTTGAGACATAAAATTTTGCATATTCCCCCTCACCTCCTTGGGAGACTATGTATGACCTGGAAAAGCTTAGGAAGGAGAATAGAATAACAGGAAAAAACTGTATTACGTCCAGAGAGGATAAAGTCTTGAGATAATCATTGCCATACTCATTAAGCTTAGAGAGCGAATATGTTTCAATATATTTTCTCTGTTCTATATATTTTTGCCTCATTAGGTCCTCTGCTTTGATGTGTTTGTTCACTTCAACATAGAAGCTCTTTGGAACTAATAAAGTTTGACTAATGTGTATTCTCTTATTACACAATGAATTAAAAAAAATACTTTTAGTCAACTGCCCAGGGCAATTCCAACTCCAACAGAGAATAACACATTTACAAACTGTTTTGGCCTTGCAGATTAGGGTATGTAGTAGATAGGCACTAAGCTGAATTGAAACATTAATGAAAAATTACAAAGTATAAACTTGAGCCACTCACTGAGAATTGGATACATCAGAAGGACTTTTCTCCGGTAAATGTCTGGGGGAAACTTGGCATAATATACTTTGGCTCTTTGTGTCTCCTCGTCACTCTGAATCAGGATCTTTCCAATTCTTATGGATCGACAGCAGTCTCGTAAACCTTGTTCCATTGCCTCACCTGGATGATGCAAATAGAAAACATAAGGAGAAAAAGCTGGAAAAGACAGAGTGAAGGCTAAGTATAGGTCGATATGGATGTGACTGTTATCAACCCAGAAAGAATAGTGACAAGAAGGAACATTCTGATGGAGCTAATAGCTTTATTTCCTTTCTGATATATTTTTGTTCTTAGTGTAAGATTAAAGCTGACAAATGAAACTAAGATAAACTAGTTTGATTGCTGGATTAAAAGTTTTAGAGTCCTCATGCTTCCATGATTACAGGAAGAAAGTGTTTGGCTGAGCTTTTTCAATATCAGGGATACTTTTGGAAGAATGGGGGCTTTGGTCAAAGATCAAGGTGGGACCAGGAGACATCAATTAGCTCAGGAACATCTCCACTGACAGGTTTTGTTATAAGTGGTAAAAAAAAAAAAGTGGAATAGTGTTCTCACTCATCATTACCACCATCACCACTACCACCACCACCTCACTGGTTTCTAAACATAGTGCTAATTTGGAGTCTGAATTCCTATAAAGACGTGTTTGTCAAAAGTCAGTCTTTCTCATACAGTCACAATTTTAGGCTGTATAATTCTACCAGTGGCACTTAACGTTTTTTTCCTTCTTTTTTATTGTTATTATAAAGGGGATGTACAGAAGTGTTACAGTTACATGCGTAGGTAATGAGTAGATTTCTTTTTCAACAGTGTCACCTCTTAAGTTAAATGTTTTCATTTCAATGTAAGAGGAAACTTTATAGGACTACTGTAAAAATGACACCAGTTTTGTCTTAATATATATGAAACTCAACAGGTGGCTATTAAGATTAAAAACAAGTGTGTCAAGGCTGGGGTGTAACTCAATAGATGGTGCTTCCTTGCATGCACAAGGCACTGGATTCAATCCCCAGCACCACAACTCCTTACACAAAACAAAACCAAAAAAAACCCCAACTCTGCATCATCCTAAGTCATCTGATACACATTAGGGGTACAAGGATCATGCTGGTCCCTCTAGAGAAGAATCTAGAAGGAAACAGAAGAACTGACTAGAGTGCGCATTAATTTAATAATATTGTCCTGAGAATGCCATCACTGCCTAAAAGGAAATTGGTTTAAAAAGGGAGCTTAATGCTCCCATTTCAGTTGAGGTATTTAATTGTTCACTAACACAACTTCAGAGCCAAAGGAAAGGAGTGAATGTTCATATTTAAAAAAAAAATCAGTTCTAGGGCTGGGAAGATGGCTCAGTGGTAGAGTGCTTGCCTTGCATGCCTGAGGCCCTGGGTTCGATTCCTCAGCACCACGTAAGCAAAAAGAATAAAAGCCGGAGGTGGCGCTGTGGCTCAAGTGGTAGAGCGCTCGCCTTGAGCTGAAGAGCTGAGGGACAGCGCCCAGGCCCAGAGTTCAGGCCCCACTACCGGAAAAAGAAAAAAAAAATTAAAAAAAAATCAGTTCTAGTGCAATTGAGTAGAACTTCTATCACTTGCATAAAAAGAAATAAAAAATTAAGGTTGCTGAAGAAAAATAATAATTGTGGAGTAACAGATATACACTCTAATTATAGGCATACAATTTCAGGGCACACAGGTCAGTTTAGAAGGGCAAGTAGCTGGACTCAAACACAAATACAACATTTAGGTAAGACCAACAAATGCAAACCTCTAAAGCTAATGACAGGTGCTTTTCCTTATATGTCACACATTCATCATGCATAAAATAAAAATATTACATTGAGGAGGGGGTGCTGGGAAGGTGGCTCAGTGGTAGAGCGCTTGCCTCACATGCATGAGGTTCTGGGTTCGATTCCTCAGCACCACATAACAGAAAAACCCAGAAGTGGTGCTGTGGTTCAAGTGGTAGAGTGCTAGCCTTGACCTGAAGAGATCAAGGACAGTGCCCAGGCCCAGAGTTCAAGCTCCATGACTGACAAAAAAAATATATCATCCAGTCTACTTCTTGGCAGAGTTCCCTACAAAATAGATAAAACAGAACATATGTGTGTGTGTGTGTTTGTGTGTATACAACATATATATGTATATATGAATGATGTCCAGTTTCTTTCCCTTGAGCTAGAATCTTGCTGCTTCTGCTTTCATTGGTCTGAACCTGTTATCTTCCCAAGTCAGTATCCCATGTAGCAGGGATGGCAGGAGTGTGCTACCACACCTAGTTATAGAATGAGAAAGGGTCTCAAGCTTTTCTGCCCAGGTTGTCCTTGGACTGTGATCTCCTCCTAAATAGCTAGGATGTGACTCACTGGTGTTAGATTTTTGTGAATCTTTGTATTTTTGGGAGTACTAGAGTTTGAACTCAGATCTTCACACTTGCTTATATATATGTGTGTGGATATATATACATCTGTATATAAATATATTGTATATAATACATGTTATATACAATATACACACATATTGTATATAATGTGTACGTATTATATATGTATATATAATATATATTATATACAATATATGTATATACATATATATCCCCCCCCAGCCAGGAATCCAAAAGTTCTTCAGGCCTGAATTTATGCCACAGTCTTCAAACTATCTTGTTCTCCCCAAGACAGAATGGCATACTCCTCTGATCCCAACCTCCCCTGAACCTTTTGGAAAACTGGCTTGCCCATGGAGGCAGGCAGCTAAATGGCTCTGCAGTGCAATGCAATGAAAACTAAGCAAACTTAGCAACACACAGGCCAGGATTCCAAGGTGACACAAGGACAGGCAGCACATGGGGGTAAGATGTGAAGCAAAGGCAGGCTGTACAATTATGAGACATGGCCACCTTTAACCCGGGAAACAGTGACCAGATCTATGCACACAGACTAAAACCACATACATACAGACCTACCACTTCTCATTATGCTGACCCCACAATTTCCCTTCTCAAACTTCACTCCTTCATATTTGTACCCTGTTGGGAAAGAAAACGAAAGAATTTATCTTTCATCATTGGAGCAACTAATTTATTCTATAAAGTGCCTATAGCTTCCAGTGGATGAGTACAAAGCAACCCCTTGTCCAGATACACTGTGTAACACCTTTGGTTCCCTGTGAAAGTAATGAGATGCGTTATGATTTTTCATAGTGATTTCTTAATTCCTCCTAAGAAACCTGTGGGGATAATTGGGAGAGGCAGACTTCATTGAAGGCAATAGACTTATTATAGCACGATATTCACATACACGTTCTTCAAATTGAATTCAGAGGAGAATCGCTGCACTCTGAGAATGCTATCGACCCCATCAATTCAAACTGAGACCCCACTGAGAGCCACGTCAGAAAGCCTCCTTATTCCATCCCTTTTTATGAGCCTCCATTCTGCCTTAAAAGCTGAAGAAAAAGGCAGAAGTAATTATCAAGCTGACCAACCCTTGGTCTCTTCCTGAATTTGTGTCAATTATGATGCAACAAGCTCAGCCTTCAATTTTCCTTAAAATTCAACCTTTGAATAGGAGACTTTTCCATCATTTACTAAGGAACCAAATCTGAATTTCAAATTCCTGAAAAAGGGGATGTGGGTTTGGGGGAGGCGAGGAGGCAGGATGCTTGGGCTATTTTTCTTGGAACAAAGTACCTTCTTCAATTCTCATCCCTCTTAGTTCCCCCCCCCCTTTTCCCTTCTCATCCTGTTTTTACCTGGAGTTTTAATGCCAAACCCAGCCTCCCCCATTTGTTAACATCAGCGGTTTCCCCACAGAGGTAAAGATAAGCTGCCAGCAATTCTTAACTCTGGTCCCAATGGGCTGTCATAAGAGCTAACACCTGCATGCCGAAGAATATTTATTAACCTTTAACTGGAATTGACAAGCAAGCCATTAACAAAAAGTCACCTACACAGATTTCTTTACTAAATGTCTCAGAAGTTTAAAAGAACAGCTCCATCTAGATTTCTCACTTTGCATACTGATTTTTACTCCAGTTCCACCTCCTCCCCACCACCACCTACGCCAACGCCCACTGGCGCTCAGGATTTTTATGAGGAAAATTTGAGAATAACGACCCTGGTTACCTGTTGGAGTAGTCACCATGCATTCTTTATATGGCAGCTGATTCAATCCCTCTTCCACAACAAGTCTGATCTAGAGAGTCAAAGGAAGAAGAAGGTGAGAAGGCTGCTGTGAATCTCCTGCTAGCTGTTAAGCCTCAGGAGCTGAATAGTGGGCAGGGTCAGTAGCACACTGGGTAAGGTTTTATGTTCTGAAATTAGGAGGGAGGACTCTATCATGTGAGAGATGCAGGGATAGATCCAAATGTCAAGCTGCTGGCTACTAAGTATCTTGCCTTCATCAGGCACACGATCACTATGTTGCTTGATTCCCAGGCTATGAAAGGAAATTTCAAGTGACAAGAATCATGGAAAACACCTTTGGTAGTAATAAACTGGCTATTATGGAAAGTGGCACTTTCTCTACCTTGTTCAGAACCTCTGAAAATGCTGAGTTGGATTTTTTTTTTCCAAAACAAAGCCCCACCACAATACAAAGAAAACTCTTGTGAGGAAATGAATGAGTGGATGGGCTGAACCAATTTACTGGCCCAAAGAAGGATCCAGTAGAATATACTGAGACTTCTCAACTAAAGAAATGGTCCATAACAATCATAACATATGGTGTACCATGAAAAAGAATCACTCGAAACCTCTAGGAACAGCTTCCCCAAACCAGATGTTGTATTCCCATGGGTAACCAGAGCCTACTATATAACAAAGACAGGCTGAGGCTGCAAAGCACATTTTCTCCAATCGATACTACATTACTGATTGAGAATCAGGAACAGCAGGGAAAAGCACCATGCTTCATGCTCTGTTATCACAACATAACACCCTGCTGCCATTAAAAGGATCAATTTGAAATGGGCCAGCACTTTGGCAGCCTGAGGAATCAGAAAAAGACCGCCAGAAACCTCATGAAAACTGTTTGCAAGGGCATACTCGCCCTTAGCTGTCGCCCTCTATAGTGAGCTATTGTTTGTTAGAAGCAAATAACAACCTAGGATTCTTTTCTTTGAAGAGTCCAGTCCACCTCACAGTAACACAAAATTATGGAAACAGTGACCAAAATATAAGAATGATGGGACTGTGCCTCAGTGGTGGAGCACATGTGAAGCATGCACAAAGCCCTGGGTGTAATCCCCAGCACCCAGATGAACAAGTAAGTGGATGAATGACAAATACATGAATGAATGAATGAATGAATGAATAAAACATAATGAACTCAAGGATCAGAGGCCCAGGAAGCCAAACCTGACAAATTCAGAAAAGAATGAATTAATGTCCAGTATAATGCGACATTATGTTAGAGGAGATGGTACCTAGAAATCCTCAGCCAATAGCTAAAGAGCTAAAGTCCCTACCACAACCACCACAGACCTTCTCCTACCCAATGTAAGGCCCTTCAAAGCCAACCACAGAGAACAGAGAGGTTCAAAGTAGCATCTCCTCAGGTAAATTATGCCATGCTTCCTCATTATTTCATTTGCCTTAGATACAAAATTTGCCATTTCAGGGAAGAATTTTTGGATTACCAGGAATTTAAATCCTACTTCATACAGTAAAAGAGCACATGAGCACATGAGCCCGGCACAGTGGCTTGTACCTTAATCACAGCCACTTGGGAAGAAGGTAAGGCAGGATTGCTTGTGCCCTAGAGTGAAGCCAGCCTGGACAATATAAGGAGATCTTATCTTATAAAAAAATTAAAGGAAAGGAAAGGGAAAAGAGCATATGAAAATCGAAAGAAAGAGGAACAACTTTCTGCCAGTGAACAGAAAGACCCCTATTCTCTCCACAATAGCCATTAAGACATAGATTCCAGCTGGGCACCAGTGGCTCATGTCTATAATCCTAGCTACTCAGGAAGCTGAGGTCTGAGGATTTTGGTTTAAAGCCAGCTCTGGCAGGAAAGTCCATGAGAATTATCTCCAATTAACCACCAGAAAACCAGAAGTGGCACTGTGGCTAAAAGTGGTAGAGCGCTACCATTGAGTAAAAAAGTCCAGGGATAGTGTCAAGGCCCTGAGTTCAAGCCCCACAACCAACAAAAAGAATATCAACAATGAAAGGACATAGATTCCTTTCCTTCAAATGTGTTTCGTGGGGGGGGGGTGGTAAAAGAATAAAGCACAAAATGACCTATTGTCCCAGAAATGTCAACCCCATCTCTTTCGATGCCATCCAAAATGCTTATTACTGCCCCCGAAAGCTAAAATAATCTGAAATAGAATCAGGTTTTGAACCAGTAATATTTAAAGCCAAAAGCAGTCTAAAATTATTTTGGAATAAATTCTCCAGGGAAAACCTGAATGAAACATGGCATGCCCTTTTCTCATATTTTTTTTTATCATCTGCTTTCTACTACCTTATTCTAACTGTAGGGTTAGAAAGCCACATTTCTTTCTTTTCCAAAGTACCAACAACAGTAGTTAATCCAAACTCCAAGATCAGCAACCTCATTTTTGTATTCTTCTTCTCTATACATCCTAGAGCAGAAGGAATCTACTGCTGTGTTTTATAAATGGATGAAAGTTAGCAACCACAGCAGATAACATGTCAGCTTACTCCCAGCACTTGAGCACACTTAGATACAAATAGTTACTTTGTAGACAAGTCGATTTGGCCTGAGGTTCTCTTAGATGACAGGAGCAGAACAGAAGTAGGCTTGCCTAAACCTTACTAGGAAATTCCTGAGGAGCATTTAGATAGTCCAACTTAGTATGTCACACTTAAGGATAGTATAAAACAGAGTCCAAATAAACATCACCTCCCTGTAAACTATAAAATGTGTACTCATTTTTTTGTCCATTAGCTGGATAGTACGTGATTAACTTTCTTCTAATGTACACCACTTCATTGCCCAAAGCTGAAGCAAAGTTGCTGGGAACAAGAGTTCCTAGGCAAAGCTTTGGGGGTGGAAGGGATTAGAGGCAGAGCTTTAATGCAATGGTAAAAAGAATACTACAGAAGCCTAGCAAGATGATGGTTACATGGTACAATCTCTCTTACCCCCAGAATGTTCTAGAACAAAACAGCTCCTTGGCCTACCATGATTATATCACTAATACCACAATGAAATAAAAATGGAAAACCTCCACCTACCAAACGATCTGCAGAAAACATGAAGTCCCCTCTACTGGCTGTCCTAAAAAAAAAAAGTACAAGTATTAGTCTAAATTAGAGATGAAAGGTAAACTATTACATAATACAGATAGTAACTCTGACATTAAGACCTATTACATATGTAAAACTTCAATCATTTTGTGTATGACTATTATTATTGAGTCGATGCATTTTTACTACCTTCCAGGCAACAAAATGGGATGATTTAATACACTTGGAAATGCTTACTTGATCTTAACATTAGAGATAAGAATTGAAAAGATCGTACAGTCCCCCACCGAACTGTCCATGTACATATTATTAAACCAGGAGATGAACATAGTTCCCTATGGAACATGACAACAAATCTACATCTCAAATTGAGAGAAATTTTTGCAGCAAGAAAACTATATTCTCCCCACCTTCCCTCTCAATTTTTCTTGACCTAAAGGTTATATGATAGAGATAAGAAGCCCATTTACTTCATCTCTAACCCTTATGGCAATTTTTACAGTGTAAACAAATCCTCTACTTTGGCCACTGCTTTTATTTCCCAAACTACTTTTATAAACTATAATTGGTTCCTTTTCCTGATTTTTTTTCAAATGAATTCTCCATTCCCTACATCTTTCTGCAGTCTTCCTATCCGTTTCTGTCTGACAAATACCTTTACATATTGAGGTACTCAGGTGACAAGAATCCAGGGCTGTATTTATCAACAACGTGTTAACCAGCCCAAAGGTGCATGGGAAAAGACTGATGCTCCATCTGGATGTAAAAGTTAGTTGTGTTCCTCTTCCTCCTTCTTCCATATAATTGAAAAAGTCTGAGTGAACTGATTTACAGCTTTTGTACTTCAAAATCCCCACCTGCCTATCCAAAGCACACCTAAAATATTCCCCAACACAACATCAAATAACATATGCAAGCACCTGCTAGCCCAGTACATCATTAATCACCATGCATTGTTTGGTAAGTTGTATTTACTTTCTCTGACATGGGCAAGCAATGAAATATCTCTGGCATAAACAGTATTCTGTTTCCTAGAGTTATATCATATTATAGCTATTAACTACCTTAACTATAGACTATAATTGAGCAACAGCAAGAATATAGGCTTATATTTTAATGTATAAATATTCCCTCAGTTCAGAACACTATTCCCACACACACACCTATAAAGGCACAGAGAAACCATTTAAAATAGATTTTATTTCATGTACTGTGGTTTCCAAATGAGACCAGCACCTTTCATTTCTATAATTAATCTTCACAACATGCTTGTCAAGGAAGTAAATAGCAGGGAACTATAAAAAAAAATACTGAAGCTTATTGCTTCTGCTAGACTTACACAAACTTGTCTAGGCAGCTGGAACATAAGTTTTTTCAATAAGGAAGAAAAAGTCTGAGTTTCTCTTAAAGAAATATCCTGTGACATATCTTGGAAGTCCATCTGAAACTTTTAAAAAAATATGGACCATCCATACACACTTATTACATGAAAAACTTATACCAGTTAAATAATCAGAGTTGCCCAGATCTATTGTTTTATTTTGAAGTCAGATAGGTTAACACCTTTCACAACCTCCCTCCCCCAAAATACAGCTTAGCTCATGAATTTTTTTTTGTACTGGTCCTGGGGTTGAAAATCAGGGCTTGCACACTATCCTTGGGCTTTTTTTTTTTTTTTGCTCAAGATCAGCACTCTACCACTTGAGCTACATCTCCACTTCTGGCTTTTTGGTGGTCAATTGGAGATGAGTCTCACAGACTTTCCTTCCCAGGCTGGTTTCAAAAGGTGATCTTCAAATCTCAGCCTCCTGAGCAGTTAGGATTATAGACATGGGCCACCAGTGCCTGGCTAGCCCATAACTTTTTACATAATAAGAACCTCTTTTATCTACCAGAAACTGTGCACAGTAAGAGAACTTAATGTGAATGGTCATCTCTTGACAATTGCTGATCTACAAATTAAATAATTCACTGTTTCAAGTTACACCGCTATAAACACTAATTACTGACTTTTATTTTAGACAGACTTCAGACCCACACTATTTTAAATCAATTTAAAAATTAAAGTATGGTTGTAATATAATAAGATGACTGCATTTTAAAAACTTATATTGGCCTTTAACATCACATTTAAATACTAAACATTATGGAGATTAGTTTAAAAGAGGCAGATATTGCCTTGTTAGATAAACCAAGATGAACATATTCATTTCAACTCTCCTTTAGGCATTGAACTGGGCTAATCAATTGTTAATAATTTAATTATTAAAATTTCTATTCATTTCAATTGAGTAATTGTTAATACTTTTGAATGAAAACCAGATCCCAGGTGTTGTTTATGCTACACACTCAATTTTGTCCCTAATTCATTTTAGAAATCCCTCTTACCAGAAGCTGGGTACCAGTGGCTCATGCCTATAATCTAGCTATGCAGGAGGCTGAGATCTGAGGACTGTGGTTCAAAGCCAGACCAGACAGGAAAGTTTGTGACCCTCTTATCTCCAATTAACCACCAAAAAGCGGGAAGTGGAGATGCGGCTCAAGTGATAAAGTACTAGCTTTCACCAAAAAAGCTCAGTGACAGTGTGCAGGACCTGAGTTAAAGGCTCAGGCCCAACACAACAACAAAATATCCCTATTACTGAAAACAGCTTTGAAAGATCCATCAGTCATCTTCTAATAACAGTGTCAAATAAAATCACATCCCTGAAATATTATAAAATATATGTAAATAATCAAATACCACATATTTAAATAGACAATGATATTCAGGAATTCAGAATCCAAAGCATAGAAGTACAATATTAAATGAAACATTTATCTATTTGCTAGTTGATTGATTGGAGGTACTGAGTCTGGAAAGTAGGGCCTTACACTCTTGCTTGGCTTTTTAGCTCACAGATGATGCTCTACCACTTGAGTACCACCTCCAGTTTGGCATTTTGCTGATTATTTTGGAGATGGTGTCTTGTTGTCTTTCTGCCTAGTCTGGCTTTAAATAATGACTCTGTAGGTCTCCCGCTGCTGAGTAGCTAGGATTACAACATGAGTCATCAGCATCAAGCTTAAACTGAAAGTATTTTAAATTGTACCAACCTCAAACAAGTTTAATAATGGAGACCTATCTATCATCTAAGGATACACTTCTCTTGACATATCACTAACACACACACACACACACACACACACACACACACACACACACACACACATTTGCCATTCCCCTGTAGATGAAAGCCAAAAGCACGCCAATTTATGATGTGATCTTCAGCTGGATACAAGATAGCAAGATTCATAGTAGAAGCCAAATCTGATTGAGCAAACTTGGTTTTCCCTACATATTAAGCTATGTATCAAGCATTTAAAAATTTCCAGAAAATCAGGTATGTGTGCCTAGATCCCTCGTGTTCAGGAGACTGAAGCAAGAGGATCAAAACTCTAAGGCCAGTTTGATCCACATAATGAGACATTGTCTCAAAATTAAAGAAAGGAAGAAGGAAAGAAGGAAATGAAGAAAGAGAAAGAAAGAGGAAGGAAGGAAGAATGAATGGAAGAAAAATAATTTCTTCAGAAGTAGAAGAAGCTTTTATGATGACATGAATTGTAAAAAGTATATACTAAGGTTATTACATGTAGAAATGCTTTGCCAGGCGTGGTGGTACACACCTGTATCTTAGTACTTAGGAGGTAGACACAGAAGGATCTGGAGTACAAAGATCTGGAACTAGCCTGGGTTATATAGTGAGATCTTGTGTAATAATAGTAGTAGTGATAGTGATCATGATAATAGATTAAAGCCAACTCTCCTGGTTAGTAACTTTAAACAATTTAATTGAAATCAAATCCTGGGAGAACCAAATGAAGTATCATTTTAAAAAAAGATTATTTGGGGGCTGGGAAGGTGGCTCAGTGGTAGAGGCCCTGGGTTCGATTCCTCAGTATCACATAAGCAGAAAAAGCCAGAAGTGGTGCTGTGGCTCAAGTGGTAGAGTACTAGCCTTGAGCTGAAGTGCTGAGGGACAGCACCCAGGCCCAGAGTTCAAGCCCCATGACCAAAACAAAAACAAAAACAAAAAAATTATTTGTAGCACTTGGGACAGAGTAAGTTGGAGTTCACATATAACAAAAATACAGGGTGACCAATTAAACTTGTGCTTCAGCAATCCCATGCAATTTTTTAAGTAATACTTATAGGAAGAATTATATGAAGAATCATACATTTGTTGAGTTTAAATTTAATGAGGCATCCTTTGTTTTATCTGGCAACCTTTTTTGAGGGGGAAAAATTTGATGGACTTTAAAAATATATTTTATAAAAGGAATGTGATTTCTCATCTCAAATTGTTTCTTCCCACATTTTTATTAGCATCCATTAGTTGTACAAGAAAGTTTCATTTTGACATGTCCATATATGTACACAAAGCACCTAGATCAGACCCAGTCCTTCTATCTCTCTCCCATCTCCAATCCTCCCTCTCCCCTGCCCCATACCAATCTCAACAAGCTTCATTGTTCCATTTTCACATACTGTATTCCCTTTACTCTTTCTCTTTACCCTCCCCTCTCTTATGCCCTGGACAGGACCTGTTTCACATTCCTGTCTTCATTTTTTTATCATACCTCTAAAAAAACTTTATTGAGAGTAGGTTATTACATAAATTTCACATATTTCACAGTATTGTGGAATAGTGATACTTAAGTCACAAACATTTTAACTGTCACAAGGCAAACTGTCATTATCATGGTCTATAAAGTTTGTGAATTCTATGAGCTTTGATGATACTATTCCTTCCACATCAGGTGATATGTACATTTCTTTCCTTTCGCTTAGTGTCAGCTGTTCCCTCCTTCCCTCTCCCTACCTCCCTTCCATCATTGCCTTTGAGTTGCTTAGTTCATTTTCATCTATGTCCAGTGCAGCTGATAGGACCCTCTGCTGTATGTTTTCCCATTTCCCTCTGATTCTGTGTCCTCCTCCTAGTTTCCCTCATATGTGCACATACAAATACTGTATATGTGGTCAAGAACATG